AAAAAGCCATAGAGGAAAGCGGTGAAAATGGTAGGAAGCATGTAATAAAAAAAACTGGACAAAACACAGTGAAAATCTACAAAAGAGAAGAAAGTAACCACAGGAAACGGTAGAAAAAGCAGTGGAAACTGGAAGAAAAGTTGTGACAATATTAGGAAAACGGTGTACAAGCTAGGAAATGCTTGTAACAACTAGAGGAAACGATGTAGAAAACAGTACAACATGGAGGACACGCGTGAACATGCTCGGAGGCATGTAACATGTTAGAAAAATAGAGTGACAACCTAGGAACATGTTATAATTAACTAAAAATGCTTTAAAAGTATAGTGAAAACCAAGACAATGTTAACGAGCGGAAACGTTGAGCAGGAAATCCGATTTGGTTTCTGTAGATAATGTTAGATGATGAGCAATGTAGTTTGGTGATAGGAAATAGTGGCTGACTCGCGTACAAGACATTGCCATGAAACCTTGGAGCAAGATGCGGATGGTATAGGAAAAAAGATGTATGAGTTGTAAGATTTTAAGAGTTGCATGGGAAAATTGGTTTCATGGTAATCTGTGTGAAGTTAGAAAAGTGTGATTTCGTTCACAGAGTCAGAACAATAAATACAATCTGCAGATTAGAGTATTTATAATGCTTAAAGCTGTTTGACGTTTTTTGGTGCCTCCCTGATTCTGGTAGTTTTGTGATAAGAACTACAAAAACGATCTACTGGTAAACGGAAGGAATAGTCTTTCCGGTTTAGAACTGAGTCGACTGTCAAGTGATGCATAGGCTCCAGGCTTCTGGTTATTGTCACAAAGCATTGGAATGAAGATTGCGCCCAGGAGCCACCTAGGTTAGGAGACAAATGCTGTAGATGCTGTAGTATCATTGTAAGAGGCCGTACTGCGAAGGCTGAAACAGAACTAAAAGTGAATCTTGTACTAAAACATCGAGAAAGAATTTGAATCTTCTAATGGCAATGACGGGAATGATATGCATCTGTACGTCCGTGATAGTATGTGTGCCTTTAAAAAGGGATGTTTGGCGAGTGTGATAGCTGAGAAGATTTTCCGGGATGCCAAACAATTATCTCTATCGATGTCAGGGATGATGCTATTCCGCGACATTTCCTGTAAAATACCTATTTTCCAGACCCTTGGGGGGGGGGGGGGGGTACCCAGGTCTGTAAATGGCCTAAATATATATACTTTTGATTTGGACTGCATGTTCGCCACTGTTCTATATTTCTCGTGGGTTTTGCATTGTTTTCCTCGATTTTAATTCGTTCTTATACCCTTTCTTACGTATGTTATAATATTGTCTTGGGTTTGCACTGCCCATTTTGCGAGTAGAGCTATGTTTTGATTTCTCACCGTACGGCCAAAATGTTGCGGAACTTCGCGGAGAAGCATGGACCACGATTCTGGGGAGAAAACAATTTAGACTGTGAGAGGTCACATGACCACTGTTCACACAAAAAAACGGGTATTATTTATCTACAATAGGTGGGAGCAAACTTGCGCTGTTGTAAGATAAATGAGCAACCAAAGGCGGATTTACGGAACTTGAGATAGAACTTTTCACAATGCCGCAGTACATTGTAGGAAACATATTTGGATATAGAAGTTACAAAATCGTGGAGTTTACCCCAAAAACGTCCATTTAATGATTGGAAAATTATGACCCGATAGCAATTGTTGATGTTGGGGCGCTTCATGTTTGAGCCATGCCATATGGATGAGGTGGAGTTTCACGCGCCCCCGCGCGAGTCAAAAAGCAAGCGCTGGCTTTCGTTCCACCCCTTCTCAGGTAAACCATGCCCAATTAGGGTTTGTTATTGGGCACAGGCACACAATTATCTGAGATTTCATGCTCCCCAAGTGATTGGCTACTGGGATGGTTTGCCGTTTGGTTACACAGATCAGGAAGCCTTTGAAGCAGAGGTTGCACCAGAATTCCCACCATGGCAAGCGGCCCAGGTCTTCCCAGAGGGTCAGCACAACGATACCTGGGAGAAGGGCGGTGATGAGCAACTTGACCGCAAAGGAAGGATAACTTTCTGGTGTTTCCCCCCGTGGATTCAATTTTGGAGACATTGAGGCTCAGGAATGTGAACCCCTTTGTTTTTCGGCAGCTGGGTCACCATAACCAGCCTACTCCTGGTGTCGTTGCTGTATCAGCACCGACCCATGGCCAAGGTACTGGAAAGTGCAAGCGACCTTCCTCCAGGCTGGGGGGAGTGGATGCCCAAGGTGTGGAAGATCATCCTGTCAGCCTTGGAAGGTCTCCCAAGTCCCAAGATATTGACCACCAAGGCATCAGAATTCTGATGAAACCACCATACCAGTACTTCCCATGATTCATGATTTAAAAGATGTGGTTTTCCGGCAGGAACCACCATAGTTCATGTTTAAAACACATTGGTTTCGTGCAAACATTTCCTTCCAACAATCGATTGACATCGCCATGTTTCAGCATCTCCCTGGCTGCCAGGAGTGCTTGTCACAAGACGTGCGAGGAGCAGCCAAGGCAAACCATTTTCTATCCCTCGAACCAACATAGACCCCGCCATAGAGAGAGTTGGAAGACTACTTTCGAGAAATAGGTGATGATCAGTGTTTATGACAGGTCGTTTTGTTGATATTTCAGCTTTATTAGGATCTGAATTTGAAGCCATCCAATTTTTGGGGGTCGAGGAAGTCGAGCCATTTCCACATGATGATCATGAAATCATTCAATTCCTTGTTGTTACCCCCTGGTTGCAAGCCCGTGCCTCACTGGTAGAAGGTCTTCCATACAGTCAAAGGTTGCACGCGGTGATCCATTACCAAGTATAGACAAAATAGAACGGCTCAAAAAACAAAGAGGATCCCAGAAACCAGCGATCGAACAATAGAAGACCCGTTCCAAAAACAGGATGAACCAGGAGCGATTGAAGAGATATATAGCCAAAGCCACGGCCGTGGTCTTTGCCAGGTGCGAGCAAAGATCGAGGAGGCGGGTATGTGTATGGTAAGCCATAAACACCGCGCATTTTTCACCACGTGGATGGTGAATTCGGGGTATTTCTGGTGTAGACAATGCGTAAATTATCGCCTGCCTGGTGGAGAAGATGTAGTGGCAATTGCTCGGGGGGTTATGCCTTCCAATCATTTTACCTATGATCCACCACCCCCCGCTGTGTTGGGCAGGCCGGACAGTGTGCTTCCATGGCATCCACGTCAGGGCCTCAGCGCCTCAAAGAATCTCAGCCCGGTGCGGGAAGAGCTGGCTCTGAGGACTGGCGAAGACGGCTGGGAAACCGTCGATTCCAAGGGCGCGAGTGTACCCTCGTCGAACGCGGGGGAACCAGCTCGGGGGACATCGTTTGTACCCTCATCTGTTCTTGGCGTATAGGGTTGGAACATATGAGGCTTTGAGAACTTCTTGGTGGTTCGACATGTTTGGACTATTTTGGACATCCTTTTCTTGGGTGGATGTGGGGAAGCAAGCCGAGGTCGCAGGATGTAGCTCGGGTGATTTGGAGGGATTTTGGCTTGCTATGGATTGTGATGGCATGTTCAAAATTCAAGATGCCTTAAACGTCCCCCTCCTCCCGCTGCTTTTGGGCAATTTTGAGAAGCCCAGGATTTTTTTTTTACAACTGGTGTTCCTTAAGCTTGTATTTGCCCAGGGGGTGGCAGATTGCAGGGAGATGCTCAGTCAAAATGGATGACGACACCCACAAGTTTCGACATTTTTTTGAGAGTGAACATTGAACGATCCAATTTCCAGATATTTCCAGTGGACTTAAGTTCATATCTTCAGTATTTATCCATGGGCGACCATTCGCTCTGCTGGTTCTTCTGCCGTTGTCCTTAGGACAGCTGAGCTGAGTTATGCGTGGGAATGAGCGCATTGAGACTCGTCGCACGGGTTCCCCTTCTTCACCAGCCGCCCGAACAGAAGAGAAGAGGCTGACTCCATCAATGGTTCAACGGAAATGCCACATATTTATCCATTTTTAGCAGGAACACCTTCCAGATAGTCGGCATTTCCGTCTGAACCATGGTTGTTTTAGGGTGGGACCCCGAGCGCCAGCCACATGATGTCTTAAGCGCCTCCCACAGGGAAGTGCTTCGCTTCCGTGATCATGCAGGCCGATTGAGGCGGAAAAAACGCCGCCCCGGAGTCACCTGCGGAGAATTTGGCAAATTCAGATGCTTCTATTCTGGGGTACGTGGTTCAAAGTAAGACCTACACACTGGTTGAGTCAACTTGAATATCCTGTCATCGCCGCAGCACCTTATTTTGAGCTTCCCCTGCCCCTTGCAGGCGGTGAAGGCTAACTGTTACCTTCTAGCAGTTCAGGTGCAGAGAATTCCGCAGGTGGCTTGCCCCCTTCACAAGCACCCGTTCGGTGCCGATGGCGACGCCGTGCTCTGTGCCAAACGTGTGCATGAAAAAAACGCGGAAGGAGATGAAGCTGATGCCTCATCTCAAGGTTGTAAGGTTGTGATTTAAAACCATATAGTTAAAATGGATCAAAATGGTGGGTTTTGGGGGTAGTTCTTGTCAATGTTTGTTGGTCGCCTGAGAGTTGGAAGCCACGGAGTGGTACCATGGCCGGTGCGTGGATGTCAGCTGTGGCCATGTGTGGCTTCAGCCAGAGAACAGCTTCTGGCTACTGACGGCTACTGACGGCTACTGCAAGCTGAGAGCCATTGAGCCAGACTGGCGAAAGTGCGAAGCAGTAGCAGCTTGGATGGCCCACAGCATCCAACACCATGCAGCAACACCGACCCTCATCCAACCATACCCACCAGCTGCAAACGCCACCCAAGACCACCCAACAACTGACCCACCACCACTTCCATACTACCATACCCAATTTGTTCCAACCTCCACTTCACACCCCAGCCTATTCCACAACAACTTCCAAGATCTCAACTGTTCATTTTCTTTGGTCCGCCATGGGCCCTTGATATCCTTTGGGCAAAGTGGTCCTGGGCCACTTCGCCATGCTGGGAGGATGTGGCGCTGCCTGCTGCTGTCAGCGGCCGTTGTTGCCGCGGGCGGCAGCCAAGGTGGCTGCGGGCAGACGTGGCAGAGCCCGGCAGAGCTCGTGGAGATCTGGGACAAGCAGACGCTGGCGTCGTTGCTTGGATGATCCCACTGTAGGGGGGTTTGATGGTTGAAAAATCGGGACAAATGCTGAACATATCCGGGATATAGGGAGATGCAACCCACTTGCCAACATTTGACTGACTTCGGGGATTATCCCAGTGGTTTGTAGGTTCGTATCAGGGACCTATGCTCCTTTCAGCTGGAACATCATGGGCGTGACAAATTGGGCCGATTAGAATCCTAACAAAAACCTGCGAGCCCACAACAAAGTCTAAGCACCACCTCCAGGGAAAGCATCCCATCCATCTGCTTATCTAACTTGGCAATGGAAATACCACCACATTTATATATATGTACACATATATATATATATGTATCACATTCATTATATAATATTTACACTTAGTTGCCGGCGATTTCCCAAGGGTCGCTCCACCGACACCATGTCGCCCCCCCAGCCGGTAGGTTCTCCGTGTCGCAGCTGGCAGCTTTCCAGGCGCTGTCCTGCGGCCGCTGCCCGCTGCTCTCCCGCGTCTGCCAGCGGCGCTCGGGGTCGGAGTGGCGGAAGCTGGCGCTGCAGTATGTCCGTGAGGAGGCGGCCTTGGCGCAACGGCAGGTGCGGGTGATGTGCGGGTGGCGCAAGGGGGTGGGGTAGCCGATGGCTGGTAGTGTTTTTTTGCTCCTCTCTTAACACTTGTATAAGCATAGATACTACATTTGATTATTTATGTGCACTTTTTACTTTTGGAGGTGTTTGGTTACTTAAGTTGAAGGTTGGTTTTCAAGAAAAGACATGGCCTTTTTCTTCAACTCCCCAGCTTCACTCTTCACGTTCCTCGGTTCTGGCATGTTTTGACCTATCCCTGGCGCTGCGCAGGCGCGCAACATGCTGCGCCACGTTTGGAGCAACTACGAACGCCACGCCTTTGGCAAAGATCAGCTGAAGCCGGTGACGGGGCGAGGGGTGGACAGCTGGGGTGGCGTGGCGCAAACCTTGGTGGACTCTTTGGATACGTGCCTTGGTGTCAGTGGTTTTTGGGCTCTTAAAAAGGCAAATTTGGGACATTGAGGTACATTGCGCATTTTTTTACATTTTTTGGCATACCCTCGAGCACCATTTAGATTATTGGGGCATTTTTATTTAGATTATTTCCCTGACTTTTGCGACTTTTCTCTGTGAAGTTCTACAAAAGATGGTTCCGTTTGCAGCCATCATCCCCTGGCCAGGCTTTGGATGATGGGTTTCCACGAGGAATTCCATCGCGCTGCTGAGTGGGCAGAGGCCAACTTGAACTTCGACAAGGATCTCAATGTGCCTCTGGGCGGAGTTGCTGCAGAGGATGTTGCGATGTTTGCATCATCAATCATCGACTGAAGATGGAAACTGAATTGGAAAGGAGACTGAACATGGAAGTGTTTAAATCCAAACTTGGGAAGAAACGGCATCCGTCAAGCACAAACATTGGCCCATAATTTTCATTAATTTTCAAGTGTGATGAATGATGGAATTAAGCCTTGGCCCCATCGGTTCCACGTCAGCTACTGAAACTAAAGATATTATTCCCCTGTTCCAATTTTTGCTACACATAACTAAACAAGTCTGTTCTACCTGTTGAAACATAGCCTAAAGAACTTTATAGGAAACATTAGACAACTCTATCCATTGGGAACTATCGAGTCTATTTTCCATTTGAAACTTGACCCTAGATTTCCCATGATTTCTCCATGAACAAGTCATAGAAAATCAATCATCTATTTGTCAAGTTTGACCGACCCTACATTTCCAGATGAACAATCCATCCATTGGTAACAATTGATAATTACTTCCCCTAGATTCGCATCCATTGGTGACATTTCATGAATGAACCTTAGAAAATCACGATTTCCATGGGGATTTTCCTCGGATTTCCCATGGAAAATCCATGGATTCGGAAGGTGAATTACTTCGAGACTTCCATCCGTCACCTGGGTGGCCTGCTGTCGGCCTACGTCTTCAGCCAGCGCCCAGGGCTGCTGCTGAAGGCGATCGACCTGGCGCAACGTTTGGAGAAGGCCGATGGGACATTGATAGATCCACCATGATTGGGCTGGGGAATCTTTTGGGGATATTTTCTAAAAAGGAAAATCCAAGATTGGGGGTAGCTATAGATCCAGAGATATTGTACAAAAACAAACCTTGCTTGCGTTTTCCAAGTGTGCAGTTTTCCAAGTGTAGAGTGGTGGGTGTCAACCCACCCCCCTAACCCAGGCGAGGATTAAGAATCTATAGAGAGATGCAAACATAGATTTAGATCTTGTTGACTTGACATAGATTATAAATTATAGATGGAATTAGATATAGATACAGATAGAGATGCAGATAAAGATGTATAGGTATATGTTATACATATAGACACGGTCGATGATAGACAGAGTATAGATAGATGATAAATGATAGATGATAGATGAACGATAATAGATGATAGATATGATATATAAGGGAGTAGACAGACAGATAGATGGATAGGTATATAGACAAACAGACAGATAGATAGATAAGATAAGATAAGATAAGATAAGATTAGATTAGATTAGATAGATAGAAAGATAGCTAGATAGATAGATGGATAGATGGATAGATGGATACATGGATAGATGGATAGATGGATAGATGGATAGAAGGATAGATAGATATACAGACACACACACACATGCATATTTATATATGTATACTGTATATATTACACGCGCACACACACACACACATATATATATATATATATATACAGATAAAAATGAGGTTCATCACGAAAGCTAGCGTCAGCTAGCTGGAGTCTTCTTGCTTTAGCAAGTATTGGGGGGGCTGCTCAAGGACATCACGTGATTTTTCACGCGAAAGGCCCCCCCCCCACCACCACCATCACCATCACCACCATCACCATCATCATCATCATCATCATCATCGTCATCATCATCATCGTCATCATCATCGTCATCGTCCTCTCCATCGTCCGCGTCCTCGTCCTCGTCCTCGTCATCATCATCATCATCATCATCATCATCATCATCATCATCATCATCATCGCCGTCGTCCTCGTCATCGTCCTCGTCATCGTCATCGTCATCGTCATCATCATCGTCATCATCATCATCATCATCATCATCCTCGTCATCATCATCATCATCATCATCATCATCTTCATCATCATTCATCATTCATCATTCATCATTCATCATTCATCATTTATCATTTATCATTCATCATTCTTCAGATTCATCATCATCATCATCATCATCATCATCATCATCATCGTTATTCAATTACATTTTATCATTATTGGCAATTACTGTCATTATCACGACAGCTAGCGTCAGCTCGCTAGAGTCTTCTTGCTTTAGCACGTATTCCGGGGCTCCCCAAGGACATCACGTGATTTTTCCCGCGAAAGGGCCCCCCCCTGCCCCCTCCCCCATATATATCATTGTTATATATCATATATCAATATATCATTGTTGCATCGTCGTTGGGACGAACAATGCCGCGACACGATGATGACAGTCCCTCCGCAACTCACCTCTTCCCTTCCTTCTTTCTCCTACCCCGCTAGCTTTCGTCATCCACCCCCGGCCTCAAGTTTAGTCTTGCTTGCTGCACAGTTCCTACATATCCTTTTGTCTCCATGTCAGCGTCCCATGATGAGTTCATGAATACCACGGATCCCAACTGACAACTTCAGTGCCATGGATGATCATTCCAGCCGCATGACTGGAAAATGATCCATGTACACGTGATCTACCATGATTTACCTGTTTGAAACGGCGATGTCCATAGATATGTGCAGAAAATACAAGGAGAGAACGTCCAGCAAAATGTGAAACACCACCCAGGCCTTCCCTCAGCTCGCCTCCCCGGGCCCGGGTCCGGGCGCCGCCCCTCGCCGTGCTGGCGGCACTGCTTCCGCCGGCTGGGCGCAGTGGCTTAGCAAGGCGGCGCAGTTCCTCCAGCAGGTCTTTACGGAGAGCACGGAGGAGTGCGGTTGGGGGTTGGGGGTTGGGGGGAATGGGGGTTGGAGATGGGGGATGATGTTTTTTTGGGAGGAACCACTAGCAGGCACTAGCAGAGAACAGGAAAGACCAATGGATATGTCAAGTATTTTTGAGTGAATAATTCCGAAGAATATGTGTAATGATACCTCATTGACCAAGTTTTGTGAGGTTTCTAAATGAGAGCCCAAAGAGAAGGGGTTGTGATCAGGGTGAGCTCTAGAATGCCCGGGACTTCGCCAGAGGTTTCATTTTCCTGCTTGGTTTAGGAGTCTGGCAGTGGCGAGTATCCAGAATTTTCAGGAGGAGACGATGAACACGGACAGGCCACAAGTCCGGTGGTGATGGACCGGTTGTTGCAACACGGGTGATGGGTGGTTGTTGTGTTCTCCTGGTGTAGCTGTCAAGGGTGCCTTTTGGATTGTATGACTCCAGCGTGCTATTGCCTGAAAGCAGTGAAGTTGCCCTACAAACTTCTTAACCTTACAGTATCCTCGCCATTGCTGGCCATAGCAAGAACTACCCTCTCCATAAAAGGAAGGCAAGGAAGGCACAGTTTTTCAACTGCACGAGGAGGACACATCGGCCCTTCCCCCTAATATTGAATACCCAAACAAAACCTTGGAGTATAAGATCATCTTGAAATTGGAGGTTTTTTTAGATCTTCGCGCTAGGATTAGGGGGATGGGAGTAGATTCCAGTGGGCTGTCCCTTTCTTCGCCTCTCATCTTCCCAGTTGTTGCCGATCTGCCCATCCCAGCGCCGTTTCAGGACCTCTCGCAGCAGCTGCAGCTGCCGCAGCGCCCCCCGCGCCGCGCGCGCGACCCGCGGGAACCGCGGGCGGTGGGGCTGCCGCTGTCGGACGTCAACCTGCGCACGGGTAAGGCCCAGGATCTGGCCGGCTTCCTGTCCCTGTCGGACGCCTGGTGATGATGTACCCCTTTAACTGATCTATTCAACATGGTGATTTTCCACAGCTATGTTACATAACCAGTGGGTATACTGATGTATACTGTATATAGTGAGGTGATAATATTCATGATACAGGATGGTGATAATCCCTTCCCCCGAATCTTAAACACCCGATATATCCAAATCCCCCCCACTAAACCTGTGGTTTCTAGGGGGTGTTTAATAGTTTAAGACTAGGGGGTATAGGCAAGGTGTTGACTCACTATCTAAATGGAGGGTATGGGTATTATCTTTAATACATGATGATATTTTACCTTCCCTTAAACCGCCATGGGCTTGTGACATGACGCCTGGAAGGTGCGATAGGAGATTTTTATGAACACCGGAAGTCAACATAAGTCAACAGTGTTCATTTTCATTTCATTTTCCTCATTGAAGTCACTTCTTTTCCTTTCACCTTTGGCCGCTTTGGACGTGCCGAGGAAACGTTTGTGCCTGTGGAGTGGAAGTTCCTAGCGCTGTTAACCTCGAACTGCGATCTGGTGAGGCATCAAGACGAGGCAGGGCCTGACGGTGCAACCTTGCCAGACTTGGGTAGGACCGGGTAAAACATGGTAAAACTGGGATTGAACTTATACAAAAATTGGGTGGGGGAAGATGCCTTCTGGAAACTGTTTTGTCATGTTTTGTCCTTTGAACATTTTGAACGTTGCTTTGTTTATCTTTGTTTGGGGGTTTTAAAGTGGCTCAAGTGCTAGTTTTCACTCTCCTCTTTGTTTGGGACCTAGGTAAAACAATCATTGCTGGTCGTATTTCTTTTGATCATGGCCGTTTGCAATTTCTCTGATCTGATTGTTTTGCTGGTTCCGGTTCCGTCGTTTCTTTTGATTCTGACTCTGACTCTGGCTCTGATGATGATGATGATGATGATGATGATGATGCCCGAGAGTCAAAGAGTTCCAACGATATTGACCACACTGATGATCAAGCAAGACAAGATGAACCTTGAACACTCTTATTCATATTATATAATATATATCCATCAAACCACAAATGAACAAACCGTCAAAAACATGCCGAAGAAAACATGACCAAAACACCAAGTGCCCCGTCAAAGATCGACATGATGTTCCACGACGCCCCCCCGCGAGGAAACCACAACGCATTTTTCCCTATATGTTCCACATCATTTCCAAAATATCGTTTGAAGTTTGTAGTATTTCTTCCATTGACTGTGTACATGATATTTACTTCTCATCAATTTCATGAGGTTTTTTGAAGCGTTTTCTCCACATTTCATCAGGGTTTCCCATGTTTTCTCCAGATTTCCGGGTTTTGGGTTGGCCACGGCGCCTGGTACGACGGTAGCGACCCGACCCACCAGGTCTTGGAGGTGCTGAATCAGAGCGCCGACTTAGCTTCCAAGGGCCTGGCAGCCATCCTACTGCAGAGCCATGGAGCGAGGGTAGGGAACGATAACCAAGGACCATTGACTCATGATAGTTACTGTAATAGTTTAGGATAATGGATATTTATTAATGGATAGTAATGAAGAACCATTATAAACCATGGAACGATAAACTATTCCATTACTATCCATGAGTTTATAATAGTTCTTCATTGCCATTGGTTATCATAGTTATCATGTTTCTTCCATTGCTATCCACTAGAATTTAACCACTTACTAGCCATTAAAATTAGCACCATGAATCCATTGGGTAGTATCCGTGAGTTGTCCATTAGTTGAGTTATCCATTGGCTATCCTTATGAGTTGTTGTTAGGCACAAGGGGTACCCCAGCAATATATTCAAAAATGCACAACATTTGCAGATTGGGAATGCATATAGTTTTGGGGCCCCAAAGCAGACAAGGAAATTTTGCATAGGGCCATGCATATGATTCAAGCCAACCAAAAGAACATGCACAGGGTCATGCACATGCGCTTTGGGCCCCAGGAAAAATGCAGGCAGACTTCTCCGATTTTTTGCAAGTTTCCTTCACCAACATTCTAAAAAAATGTGGCAAGAGGAGCTCTGATCAGGTGCATTTATGTTGATGCATGTTGTGAAGGTACCCTCCACTGAATGCATGTTACTCTAAATGCTTGAGGAAAAATGATACCCTTTCAAGAGTCAAGAACGTCTGTATATCATTTCGGATTGTTCAGTTGTGCTACTCGTTAGTTGCGCGTCAGCACCAGGTCAAAAAATGGAAATCGTGTTTCAATCACATTATTTCAATCCAGACTTTGTGATGTTTGTGTGATGTTCCCTGGCAGTTTTTGGACTCAGAAAGTCTTTGCATCATGGTGCGCATGCTGAAAATTAAGAATACATAGGTCAAAAGATCACCCCCGGACGGCTTTTGGGGAGACCGTGCAGATCAGGAAAGTTGGCCTGCCAGATCCATTATGCATTTTTGAACGGCCGTAAAAACAGCACGCAAAAAATATGCATTTTCAATAGGCGTTTTTGATAGCACGCAAAAAATATGCATTTTCAATATGCATTTTTGATGGCTCCAAGATTTTTCAGAAATATGCATTTTTCCATGGAAAATGCATATGTTTTTTGCTTTTCGGCTGGCTGCAGAAAATGCATATTTCATATTTCGTTGATTTTGTCCAAAAACTAAAGTTTTCATGGAATTATGCATTTTTGATGGTTCCAAGATTTTTCAGAAATATGCATTTTTCCATGGGAAAATGCATATTGTTTTTTCTTTTCGGCTGGCTGCAGAAAATGCATATTTCATATTTCGTTGATTTTGTCCAAAAACCAAGGTTTTCATGGAATTATGCATTTTTGATGGCTCCAAGATTTTTTCCAGAAATATGGAATTATGCATTTTCTGCAGCCAGCCGAAAAGCAAAAAAAATATGCATTTTCCCATGGAAAAATGCATATTTCTGAAAAATCTTGGAGCCATCAAAAATGCATAATTCCATGAAAACCTTGGTTTTTGGACAAAATCAACGAAATATGAAATATGCATTTTCTGCAGCCAGCCGAAAAGCAAAAAAAATATGCATTTTCCCATGGAAAAATGCATATTTCTGAAAAATCTTGGAACCATCAAAACTGCATAATTCCATGAAAACCTTAGTTTTTTGACAAAACCAACGAAATATGAAATATTTATTTTCTGCAGCCAGCCGAAAAGCAAAAAAATATGCATTTTCCCATGGAAAAATGCATATTTCTGACAAATCTTGGAACCATCAAAAATGCATAATTCCATGAAAACCTTTGTTTTTGGACAAAATCAACGAAATATGAAATATGCATTTTCTGCAGCCAGCCGAAAAGAAAAAACAATGTGCATTTTCCCATGGAAAAATGCATATTTCTGAAAAATCTTGGAGCCATCAAAAATGCATAATTCCATGAAAACCATGGTTTTTGAACAAAATCAACGAAATATGAAATATGCATTTTCTGCAGCCAGCCGAAAAGCAAAAAAAAATATGCATTTTCCCATGGAAAAATGCATATTTCTGAAAAATCTTGGAGCCATCAAAAATGCATATTGAAAATGCATATTTTTTGCGTGCTATCAAAAACGCATATTGAAAATGCATATTTTTTGCGTGTTATTTTTACGGCCGTTCAAAAATGCATAATGGATCTGGCAGGCCAACTTTCCTGATCTGCACGGTCTCCCCAAAAGCTGTCCTGTGGCGATTTTTCTCTGCTTGCTTTTCTTTGCGCCATTTGAATGTCACTCAACAAGTTTGGCAACAGATCCTAATACCCGCTTTGCAGTCTCAACTTGAGCCAAGTGTTCCATATTCTGGAACACTAAAAGACATGGATCTCCATGGTCTCAGTTCTATCCAGACTTGGGGGGTTTTGACTTGTGGGCAGAGACAACTCAGTATGGCAGGGGCGCAGGATGCGATTGCAAGTTTCTGGGGCATCTTCATGTGTCGTTGAACACGTATAGTATATACCATGCTTGAGAGCAAGCAGTCTGGATGCATTATGTTTGTGCAAAAACCGCTTGATCAATTTTGTGACTTGCATGTCGGGGATACTATTATGGCTGCGCAGTTGGCGGGTGTAACTACGGTGGCCCACATGCATCTAGAGTAATCAGCAAAAATTGAACCCCTTGTGGAAAGTTTTGAACATATGCATTTCTGACATTTGCAGCCTGTAAGTATGCATTTTTATTATGCATTTTTGGCTATAGATTTTGCATTTGGCATTCATGGGCTTGTGCCTGGACAACAACTCATAAGGCTATCCATTAATATCCATCAATTAATACCTATGAATAGTGGGCATATATATATATATATATGACGAAACCACATGCCCAACCAAGGGCAAACGAACGGGCACCTTTTCCGCTCCTGAGCCAAGGGTCCCTGGCGATTGACCAACCTGTCAAGGCAGTGCACTCATGGCAATGTCCCAAATTGACACTGGTTATAATCTTCCAAAGTTAAAATTCGGAGATATCCATCTCTTCTCCAGTATGTTGGGGCACACATTCTGTTGCTCATCCATCGATCAGCAGGCGGGGACGATCAGTGCCGGGAATGAACGGCGAGGAGCTGCCAGCGGATGCATATCCCTTGCTGGTCACTCGCTCATGTTCCACCAAATACTCAGCAAGATCTTTCAGCAGTCCTGTGGCAGTCTTGACGCGACGTGTGCACCACAGCTTGTACTGCAAGCACTCTGGATTCTGACTGTTGGCCAAGTGCAAGTAGCTCATGTTCTTGCCTTCGTATTTGCCGAACTGGATTCGTGTACGTCCCCACGTGGCGAAATCTGGGACACCCTCAGGAAGAGCTTTGACATTGACGCCTCGTACCATCTCATGCTGGGCCTCATAGAACTTCTCGATCTTGCCCTTCCGATTGACCAAACTAGTACCCATATTGCCTGGCAGGAAAGGTTGTTGGAGATCAGCGAGCTCTTCAGTGGCCCTGCGTTTCGATGCATCAGTCATCCCTTCGGAAGATCCGGAAACCAAAGTGAAATCAGAGCTTGGAGGACCGCTATGTATGGTCATGGCCAGTTGGTCCCACATGCCACACTCCTTTGCTTTGGAGATCATCTCTTGAAAGGCAGCGGTATCACTCTGAGTCCAAGACATGCTATGAAATGGTAAAAACACGGAGGCTCTATGTCAGCAAGGGCAAAAATCCTTGATGGTCACCGGTTGGTGACGTGCAACAGCTCTCACATCATGCTGGTGAAAAAGGTTGGTTGTCGAACGAAAAACCAGGGTTGAAACAAATTATCGTGAAAACATTCTCCCAAGACATGCTTGCACGAGTGACAAAACTGATTCGCTATGCAGCAAAGGTGATATCATAGCTGACTCTGTGCACAAAACGTCAGCTTTCATATTCACTTTTCCAAAAACTTGAAAGCTTTTTCTTTGCAAAAACTGGTGATTGGCTGCAACAACAGTTCACTTCGAAGGAGTGGCCGCAAAGACAGGACAAACGTTTAATGCCGGTGACTGAGAGGTATCTGGATTGCTTGCAATCTAACCCTACCTATTTTCGTTTACAGTCATGCACAAACAACCCACCAAGATCCTTGACCCTATGCCAATCACTTTCGGTGACTGTAGACAAAAACTTCAAAACTTTGCCTCAGGGACTCTTGAGTCACGAGTGTTGGTTCGTTCCGATTGTCGCGCTTTTCTCAGCTCTCTCTCCGCAGCCTGGCGAGCAAGTACTGCTGTCTCCGGTGCAATTTGATAGACTCCACTGCGAACACAACTTCTCAGTAAGTCGGCTGGGTCCAACTTATCCTTGGTGAGTCCATCCGCTAACATGCGATCAGTGGGTAACCATCGAATGCTGCCTTGTAGAGTACTCAAGGATTCTCGGATTATGACCACATCGATACTTGTGCGCCTATCACCAATGGCAGTGGGTGACGAGGGGCTCACCAAATGATCGTACAATGACTTGCAATCTGTGGCCAGCAGCGGTCGTCGGCGTGACAACACTGATCTGACCTGTCGCAAAGGAGTTGGACCATCCAGAGCCTCACTCACAAGGAGAGACAGCCACTCTACTGTGCCACTTGCTACACTCATGGCTTGGCTTTCACCTGCCAGAGTAGAGCTGACAGCTCGAGCTAAACGATAACTCTTCCACACTACTGGAACCCAAAGTGCTTCCTTGCCGTCGTGAAGGTCGGAATGGGTGAACGCAATCACATATCCTGCTTGAGTGTGAGTTCCTACATTTGCCCAAGCTGCATCACTATGACAACATATTGTTAGTTTATCAGGGGCTATGCTTGGAAACACAATGCTAAGCTGCTTGTGTTGCTTGGCTCGACGGACTGCATTATTTGCATCTCTCAGGTTCCTAATGCATGGCTTTGGAAACGCTTGCTGGCTCAAACTAGTCTGTACGGACAAATCTGGTTTGGACTGAGATGCCAACCAGTTCAAGCTTCCATTGATTGCT